ATAAACACATTTCTTAACTACTCGTACACTTAGTCAAGTAAAGTAACTTGTTAACCAAAGGTCTAACTTGTTACATTTCAATATGTATTTACTTTTAGATAAATAATATAAGTATTATTAAAAAACTTAACACAGCCTTGTATTAATATACTGTGTAATAACAAAGATTAACAAGTATACTAACTAAATTAAATATTAATAACAGAAACCTAATATAAGCCAACATAAAACCTACTGATAAAATTTATTTAAGCAGGTTAACTAATATTAACCAAGATTAAAAATAGCTAAATAAGATTATAAGACCTTTTTATAAAAAGAATTATTAATTTAAAAGTTTAGATATAAATAATATGAAAATAAAATCATATGAGAATATACTAAAGTAAAACTTGTAAAGGATAAAAAAATATCAGATAAATGCTATCTAAAAATATACTACTTTGATAGATTTGGATTGCAAATAATAGATCAGTAACCAGATAATAGAGAAGAATATTTAATTCTACAAATGATAATCTTAGCTAGAATGTAAATTACTAATAGAACTCAAGTCTGAACTAAATATATTTGATATATATAATATAAGATATAGCAATATATACTATATAATAAAAATATTAAAATAAATAAATTCACAGAATAAATCTTATCTAAATATTAAAAAAAAAATTATTAAAAAAACTTTAAAAATTTAAATATAATTTATTTTGTTATATAAACCAAATTTTGTAATTAGCAATAACTTTTAATCTATTGATTTATTTTATATAGTTTTATTACCAAAAGAATCTTCTTAGATACTGTAATTCTAACAAACACAAAATCATTAAAATCTAATTATAGGATCTTAAAATTACTATAAATCAAATAAATTTTAACTACAGTAATAAAATTAATTATTTAACCAAAAAAATTGCCTAAAACAAATATTTATAACCTATTTTATTGATTTTTTAATATAAAAAACTAATGAAATGAACTACACAAACATTTGTTTTAAACAATTGTTAAATAATTAATTTTATTAGTTAAAATTTTATTTGGTTTAAAGTGATTTTAAAGATCCTATAATTGGATTTTGATGATTTTGGGCTTATTAGAATCACCTCATTAAAAAAATCATTTTGATTATAAAACTATTTAAAATAAATCAATAGATTAAAAGTTATTGCTAATTACAAACATTGGCCTATATGTTTTGATCTTCATATTATACAAAATTTCAACAAAATTATGACTCACTATTGGATAATTTGTGGAAGATACAGTACACATCTCCCAGAAGATGCCTAATAACACCCATAAATTTTATATAAAATGAGTACTGCCAAAGAAAAACCTGTTATCGAGCTTTCAATGTCCAGTTTGCTTACTAAGTGTCGTCTAGGGGAAATCTATCATCGGGCTTCCAATTATATTTTGTGGCGAGTTGCTATAGTACAAACTATAATCAAAGCCCGATGATAAGAGCACGAAAATGGAAACATCTACGGATATTATAAAAAAAACCCCATCGATGATAAATTTTCCCTAGGCAGCACTCAGTAAACAAACTCAACAATTAATGATCATATTGATTTATGTATTTGGGCGTCTGAAAACGGTGAAAAAATACCAATTATGTAAACTTAATCCTGTGTTTGAACGATCGAATGAATATTCTGCATTTCACCATATATATTTCATTTTACACATTCAATCAACTCTTGTAAAAATAATGTCTTAGTAGTCAAAGATAATAAAAATTATTATAATTATTATGTAAATCGAACTATAACAATTAATATTTTTATTCAATTAATGATATAACTTTGCCATCTTTTGTCGTCAAAGTGAATTCCACAATATTCCATTTCCCTCCATCCTTTAACGATCGAACAGAATGAAATTTCACAATCCCCTTTCCTATTTTTTTTTTCGGATGGATGTGTTATTTTCATAATCAATGCATTTTTTGACAATAAAAGATTTTTCTCTTACCATCACTTCCTTCTACCCAATATTTAAAATCTACAATTCCTTTCAATTGATTAATATTCCCTGAAATCCATGGAAATTTCCGTTGTGAAGGAAAAGGCCACCATTGAGGTGCTGTAAAGTTAATATTTCTTCCCAAATATTGAATGGCTTTTGGATGATTTTTTACATTTAATAAACTTTCCTTAACTGAACTACTATTTACACGTTGGTGATTAAATGATAATGCGATAGCAGTAGCCCAGATTGAAATTCCAATTATGCCATAAGCGATATAACGTGGTGTCTTTGATGATATCTCAGGAAGTGGTCGAATTTTGATTTTTGTCGTTTGGTTTGGGTTTTTTGCCGAGGTAACTGTTAATGGTGTAGTAACTGAGGTTGAGAAATAACGATTAATATTCAAATGAGATGAATATGGTATATTTATGTTTATCGGTTTAAATTGAATTGATGGTGTGATGCCATGATATGGTGAAGATACTGTCGTAAATTTAAGAAAATTAAACCGCGAAAAAATTCGTAACTTTTGATTCATTGTTTAATGATTGCCTATCTATCTGATATTTTTTTATATACGTAGATCAGGAATTTTACTAAATATGGGGATCGTCTAA